CCGGGGGTTTTTCCGAGCTTCAACATTTCAGGAAATTTTACATCTCTAATGGCAACAACAACAACAACAAAAATAGTGAGTGCATCTGTGTAAAGTGGGACAAGGGCCCCACTAACTTTCCGGGGACAGGCTGTGGCTCCGTGGTAGAGCCTCTGCTTGGTGTGCACAAGGCCCCGGGTTCCAACCCGAGCATTTCCTGCTAAATGGATGCGGGAGCAGGTGATGTGAAAGTCCTTCGCCCAAGACCCTGGAGAGCCGCTGCCAGGCTGAGTGGACAAGGCTGACTTAGATAGGCTAACAGTCTGATTGGCTGTAAGGCAGCCTTCACATGTGTGTGCATGCACGTGTGTGCCCTGTGTTCCCTCTAAGCTTAGTGTGAGCTGGCTCACAGCTGGCTCACAGCTCACACATTTTTGTCTTAGCTCAGGAAGGATGTCTCCAGAGCAAACTAATTTCTGCAGTAGCCAAATCGCTTGTTCACAACTTTAAGGTCAGTAGCTCACAAAGCAAAACTTTTGCTCACAAGACTCCACAGCTCAGAGGAAGCATTTCAAAGCTGGGGTCCAGTTGAGTCTGTTGCAGTCTCTTGTATCCAGCTGTGAGGAGGATGTGGGCTCTGAGGCAGCTTTTCCCAAACTTCTGATAGCTCAGGTACACTTCTGAATCAAAACTGAAGCTGCCATTTAACTGTTACAACAACTCTAAAGCATAAAGCAGCACAAATGACGTGCCTTGAAAGAAGTATGGCCTGTATGAGTCCCTGATCTGGGGGCGCTTCCTGATTGGAAGGAAACAAATTTAGAGCAGTGACTCATGCAGAAAAGCAACCCTAATTCTTCTGCCTCCCTATATTGCTTGTGACAGAATTATTCATCCACATTCGATACGGAGATGAAGTGGAGTTACCCACTCCCCGTAGAGGCTATTTGGAGCAGGCTGGTGTCTAGCTAGACCAAGGACTCAGGCAGAGAGGCCACCTCCTCAGGGAGTCAAAGGAGCTATTAATTATTTTATGAATTAATTTAATTTCTCACAGCACGGAAGCCCCTCCTGATTTGGGGGTGACAGATTCAAGGGCTTAGGCTGCCGAGGATCTGTTTTTGCTAAAACAACAAAGCAAAAAAAAAAAATCACTTTATATGACATTCACACTTCTTCTGTTATATCAAAAAGGCATCTATGCTGAGGCGTCAGAAATATGCAGATGTATTCAAATTTAATCAATTGATTGAAAGTTCTGGTCACCACACCTTAAAAAGGATATGATAGCTTTGGAAAAAGTGCAGAAAAGGGCAACTCCAATGATGAAAGGGTTGGAACATTTTCCCTATGAGGAAAGGTTAAGGCGCTTAGGGCTCTTTAGCTTGGAGAAACGACGACTGAGGGGTGACATGATCGAGGTTTATAAGATTATGCATGGGAAAGAGCAGGTAGAGAAAGAGGTACTTTTCTCCCTTTCTCACAATACAAGAACTCATGGGCACTCCATGAAACTGCAGAGCGGTCGGGTTAGAACGGATAAAAGGAAGTACTTCTTCACCCAAAGAGTGATTAACACATGGAATTCACTGCCTCAGGAAGTGGTGGCGGCTACAAGCATGGACGGCTTCAAAAGGGAATTAGATAAGCATATGGAGCAGAGGTCCATCAGTGGCTATTAGCCACAAGGTATAGCTAGGGGCTCTGGGGCAAGTGATGCTTGGGGGGGGTCAACAGGGGGAGGGCTTCTAATGTCCTGGCCCCACTGGTGGACCTCCTGATGGCACTGGTATTTCTGGCCACTGTGTGACACAGAGTGTTGGACTGGATGGGCCTTTGGCCTGATCCAACATTGGCGTCTCTTATGTTCTTATGAAAGGGTTGGCAGCTGTATTTATGTTCGCTGGTGTGTCCTGCTATTACAGTCCTGTTCATGAGCCTTTGCTCGAACCACTATCTCTGGCTGCCCAAACACAGGCTTAATTCTCCTGATGAATGAGCCCAGGCGTCAGCCCTGTTTCCTTCCCCCACCTCCAGAATCCCCAGTCCTCAGTTCTACCACCAGTTCCTGTGATTCACCAAGTGGTCCACACAGTTGCAAGCAAGAGGACAGGAAATGTGAATTATTTTTTTTTTTAATGAAAGCGAAGATGAGGTGGGGGCTGAACTCCTCAGCCCCTGCTACTCGCATTCCCACCTCTGTCACCTGCTGCTGCAGATGCTTTCCATTCCCGATTTGCCCTCCCGCATGGTCTCCTGTTTTCTCTCTGTGTTGCAGTCTGTCTTCACCCTGGGAACGGCTGCCGGTGGCTTGGGCACCATGTACTTCAACGACTGCTTGGGCCGCAAGCTGAGCATCATGTTTTCTGCAGTTCCTTCCGTCCTCGGGTACCTCCTGATGGGTAGCGCACAAGAAGTCTGGATGCTGCTGGTGGGAAGGCTGCTGACGGGGTTTGCAGGCGGTGTGACATCTGCCTCCATACCGGTAAGGAAGCCTCAGACCAGCTACAGAAACGGGTTGACGGACGCGCTGGTGGCCCCCCTTGTCCGGCTGCTGGCAAACGTGTGGGACGGCTTCCCAGTGGGCGGCTGCCCTGAGAGGAGGCTGGTGGTCAGGGGCAAGCTGTGCCAAGAGCAGGACCAGGACAGGGAGAGGCCAGATGAGCCGTCTCTCTTGCTCAGGATGGGCTGGCGCCTTTGCAGTCAGGCAGCCAGCCACCACGGCTGCATTCCCTCCTGTTCCCCTCCAGAATTCGGGGAGGGCTTTGCCATCGCACCATCATAGAAACCAGTTGAGAACTGCCACTAATAGTCTAAAAATATGAAGACAATGTAAAAAGCTAAAATCCAGGAACATTTTTTAAAAGCATCTAAAACATCAGTCTTGGGGAAAAAATGATTTGACCAGTCCCCTAAAGACCATCAGGCAAGGTTCTGTGGAGAGGGAGTTCCACTTGTGGGGTGCTACCCCAGAAAAGGCCCTGCCCTGCCCTGCTTCCTCTAAGCTCTTTCCTAAATTTCAGTGGTATTCCTGAAGAAAGGCCTCATCTATGCTCTCTAAAGAGCTCAGGCAAGAAGGACCTTGAACTCAGGCCAGACTTTCAATCTTAAGATCAACACTTTGAAACTCAGAAACTGACCAGGAGCGAATGGAACTGGTGTGAGATGTACTTTGCTGCCCACCCTGATTAACAACCCGGCACCTCTCTTCTGCGTCTGGTTTTCCAAGACAGGCTGCCCAGCTCTAGGTAGGGAAATTCCTGGAGATTTGAAGGTCGAGCTTGAGGAGGGCAGGGTTTGGGGAGGGGAGGGACCTCTTCAGAGGGCAGGGCCACGCAGCCCACCTGCCACATAGGCCATTTTCACCGGGGGGAACTGATCTCTGTTGCTTAGAGATCAGTTGCAGTTCTGGCAGATCTCCAGGTCCCAACTGGAGGGTGGCAACCCTCGCTATAAGCCAACTGTTCCATGGTGTTTTACCACCTATGTTACTGGCCCATTTGGTGTTTTTGCCTTTGGTTCAGTATCCTGTATTGTATGTGCTGTATGCTGATTTGGTGTATAATAGTGTTAGCAAACTGATTTAAACAGTATGTCTTTTGATCCAAAGGACTGATAAATCCATTGATATTTAGCATTGTGGACAGGAAGCACCATGCCCACATTTCTTAATCCGTTAACACGGTCATCATACTTCCTTCCTGTATAAAATGGAACTGGATTTCACTCCCTTTTCTAATGCAAATACTGTGATCATAGAGAGGCACCACATAGACAATGAAGGACAATGGTGGAGTTCAGTTAAAATACCAGAAGTTCAGGTTTTGCGCAGCACTCTCCC